TTAAAGCTATTTTAGGATCTTTTCATTTCCATATACATTTTAGAATCCCCTTTTGATTTCTGCTGGGATTATGATTGAGATTGCACTAACTATATAGATCACTTTGGGGAGAACTGTTATTATACCAATATTGAGTCTTCCAATTTCATAAATATTATATAATTCTCCATTTATTTAGGTCCTCTTTAATTTTTCTTGGCAACATAGCAGTTTGTAATGAAAAGATCTTATGTATTTAATGTTTTTTTAACCCTATAGTAAATAGAATTACCATATATAACTCTTAATAGGAATATATTTCTAAATGAAAATACAATCATCTATGAAAGAGACAATTTTACTTCTTCTATTTCAATCTCTATGACCCCCCCCCCCCCCCCCCCCCCCCGTTATTTTAATGGCTAGGACCTCCAGTACAATGTTGAATAGAAGTGGTAAGAGCAGCCATTGCTGCATTTTCCTAATATTAAGGGAAAGAATTCATGTTTCACTTAAAGTATGATGTTAGTAAGTTTTTTATAGATACCTTTTTATCAGGTTGAGGACATTCCTTTCCATCATGAATGATTGTCAAATTTTCAGATGCTTTTTTTGGTGCTATATATTGAGATGATTATATGATTTCCTCCCTTTTTGTTAATATGGTGAATTACAGTGATTACTTTGAAGTGCTAAACAATCATACATTCTGGGAGAAACCACTCTTGGAAATGATGCATATGTCATTTGTTGCTTCATTATTTTGAAATGCCGTTATTAAGAAAATGCACATTCAGCCCTAACTGGTTCGGCTCAGTGGATAGAGCGTTGGCCTATGGACTCAAGGGTCCCAGGTTCGATTCCGGTCAAGGGCATGTACCTTGGTTGCGGGCACATACCCAGTAGGGAATGTGCAGGAGGCAGCTGATCAATGTTTCTCTCTCATCGATGTTTCTAACTCTCTGTCCCTCTCCTTTCCTCTCTGTAAAAAAAATCAATAAAATATATTTTAAAAAAGAAAAAAAAAGAAAATGCACATTCATAGTTGTTTTATCTTCCTGATGTACTGGCCCTTTTATCATTATAAAATGTCTCTCCTTTCTTCCTTATCTTTAGTAAAGCTATTTGTCTTAAAGTCTATATTAATACAGCCATCCCAGCTTTCTTATGCTTAGTGTTTGCATGAGACACTTTTTCCATTCTTCTATTTGTTTTTCTTTTTAAAGTATACTTCTTGTAGGCAGCATATAGTTGGATCTTGCTTTTTTTAATACATTCTGTTAACCTGTGCCTTCTAATTGGAGTGTTTAGTCTATTTATATACAATGTAATTAAGGACATAGTTGGATTTAGAGCTACTATTTTATTATTTGTGGTTTACTTGTCTCATGTTTTATTTATTTCTCTCTTCCTCTTTTCCTACTTACTTTTGGGTTAGCAAATTCTTGTAGTCTTCCTTTTTAATCCTTCTATTGACTTTTTAGCATACATACATCTTTGCACTGTTTTTCCCCAGATGCTTCTCTTAGGTATTATCATATGCATCCTTAATTTGTGTCAATCTACTTTGAGTTAATGTTGTAGTAAAATATAGGAAATTTGCAGCAGTATAGTTTCACACACCTCCCACCCATCCTCTGTGCTATTCTTATCATAAATCTTGCATCTACATATGTTAAATCCCCCAATATTGTGTTATAAATTTTTGCTATAAGCAATCATGTATCTTTTAAAGAAATTTAGAGAAAGGAAAATATATATATATTATTTTTTATTTACCATCCTAGTCACCATTTTCAGTGTTCTTTATTCCTTTAACTGAATTACCATCTTGTGTCATTTCACTTCAAGATGAAAAAATTCTTTTAGCATTTCTTGTTGTGCAGCATTATTTGCAACTAATTCTTTCATTTGTTAGTTACCTAAAAATTATGGGATCCTTTGATAATTCTCCATTTAGTACAGCTGTCTCTTATATATTCCAGTGTTTTAGAAGTAAGCCTTGTAAATAGTTTAGTGCATTTCTTTCCTGGATTTTCCAGACACACACACATACACAACACACTCAACACACATACTCAGACACACTTACAGGCACATACCACAGATACACACAAACACTGGCACCCATGGAGACATCCCTCTTGGATGTCTGGAAACAGGACTTGATTCTCCTGATCTCTCATCTAGGGCTCTTTGCCAAAAGTAAATTATGTTTACTTCTAAATTATTAGAGGTGAATAACAGCCTCCACCACTTTGCCTCTCTCCTTATTTTAAGGGATATGTGTTTGTTATAAATAAACAAAGCAGGAATGATGGATTATTTCTCAGCTTTTCAAATACATGATTTCAAAATAGGTAATGACCCTGCTCAGGTAAATAGAGATTCATCATGTCTGAACGGGTACCACTGACCTTGGTCCAGCGACGCGCTCCTTCTGCAGAACAATCCTCTGCTTTTGTTTTGGAGAGTAACTACTGAGCGTGGACTCTACCCAGGCAGGTCGCTCACAGGATTTTCAAACACATTTGTCTGATTCCTTAGCAACTGAGTCTGTGCCAAGATAAACCCATTTCACAGTGTAAGGAACATAGCAGGGAGCTTAGCGATGGGAGCTGAAAGGCCAGGTCTGACTCTTGTTAGCTGGTTGTCTTGGGTACCACATTTAACCTCTCTGAAATTAAACAAGGAATGTGGAAAAATATTTTTAACGCCTAAAATGTACTGAGTGCTTACCATGATCTACACATTTTGTACATATTAACTCATTAAAGCCTCCTAGTGACTTGATCCAATAGGCTTTCTCATTATCCCCTACTTTCTGGTTGAAGAAGCTAAGGCACAAAGATTCCTCCATAATGTGTATCTCGTAGATGAAAGAACAAGACTTAAATGATGGCAGTATGGCTCCCACATCCCTGCCTCTAATTTTGTCACTGTACTTAATAGTGTTAAGAGCAGGCACTTCTCAGTCATGGGTTTTGCCAATGATAGTGAATGCATTTCTAGCATCCAGTTGTCATACCTGGAATCTCTCAGCTTACAGAGATCCTGAAGAAAGTAAGGGAGGAGCCCAGAAGATTGCCCATTGTTGTAGAGTAGTTTCAGTGGTCATATAACCTGGGACAGCAAACATGTACTTCACTCCATATTTCAATATGACCTCCATGAAAAACCCATAGCAAGGCCAAGCTGCTTCCAGTTGGCTCACAGAACTGGAGGGTAGCAAAGGGCTTCTGAAAGTTAGATGGTCAACCTCCATCTAGGCTACCACAGATAAGAATCAGGATGATATTGTTGTAATGTACCCCGCGAATCACAGAAGGACGCCTCAAGAAGTCGAATTAAAGAGTCACATTTATTGCAATCTGGGACTATAAGGGGCCATTCCCCAAATCTCATAGCAACAAGATGGTCGCAGCTCCAAGGTTATATAGGCAAAAAATCACAAAGGTATTGATTACATCCCAGGGTTTGGAATGAGGAACCTGGTTCGCAAAAAAGCAGTTTACAGAAGCAGAAACAGCATGTTATCTAAATTACAGTTTTGGGTCTAGAGCCCTTGGGTAACCTGGGTTAAACTTAGGCATGTTATCTAAATTACAGTTTTGGGTCTAGAGCCCTCTGACCTTGGGATAACTGTGCTGTCCTTCCCAGGTAAAGGAAAATGTGCTTTCTAAGACCAGTATGACCACAACCCATGGGATATTCACATTACAATCAATAAGGCATTTAATCGAATGGGATGATTTATACAATTCAGAAAATCAAAGTAACTTTTCTGTTGTTAAGCCAAACAACAGGATTAAACTACAGTTTCTACCTGAGATGGTTGCTACCATACTTCATTATAACTGTGACATTAGATGGATGGCATTCTGGCCATGGGACCTAGAGATGCTCAAATCCTGTCCCAGGCTAATCACCTGTATCCTCTGAGTTTCTCAAGGGAACTATAGGTACAAAGTAGTGACGCTGACAAATAAGAACGAAAGTACCACTTACATATTAGCCTTATAGCCATCACCCCCAGTTTAGCTCTCTCAGTAAGTTCCAATCTTACTGCCAGTGACCATGGAGCCTGAAAAAAAGTTATCTCCCAGATGTCTGAGAAGCCAGTGAGAAGGGGAGAGGGAAATAGAGTGACAGAGAGAAGAAAGCAAGAGCAAGGAAGCCCAATTCCCTCCTGACTCAGCCACTGGTTCTGCTCACGGTCATATTATCCACTAATAAATGTGATCCCATCTTTTCTGGAATCCAACTGCTAGATCATCACATTAGCAACAACTCCTTCTGGCTAAGGCATGCATGGACATCCCCTCATAAAATCATAGTATGAGTGTGTGTGTGTGTGTGTGTGTGTGTGTGTGTGTGTGTGTGTGTGTGTGTGTAAAGAGAGAGAGCAAGAGCATTTCAAAGAAGATTATAAGGAAATATACCAAGTGGTAGTGGTCAAGAATAGTACAATTTTAGTATTATTCAAATTTTCTATAATAAGCACAAATTAATTAACTGTATAATGGCAAAATATATTCAGTAGTATGTGATACCTAGACTTGAATCAGCTTTTCAAATCCAAAAATAACATCAAATACAGTACAAATGTAAATGCTCAAGCAGCAGTGCATAAAGGAATTTGTGAAGTTTGAAAGTCAAGGAAGATTTCATAAAGAAAGTAATACTTTAGCTGGCCTTACAAATAGGAATGGTGGAAGCTATGGTTTTTACCACATCACATCATTTACTGATTTGTTGTGGTTGGATGTTTCGAGTGGTGTTGGATGTGACTTTGTCTCTTCAGATCAATGTCAAGTGCCTGAAGTCAAGGACTCTATTCCATGTTTGCATCTCTCCTTCATCTCCACGTTTACCTACCACCTCAGAAACCATCACAGCAACTCAGTTTAGCTTTGCTTATCAACTGCCTCAACGCAGTCCAGCTGCTTGTTCAGGCTAAGCGCTGAGTTATTAATAAGCCAAATCACCAAATTAATGGTCAGTTTTCTCTGTCCCTTTAGCTCCTCTTCAGAAAACATCTGCAGAACCTTATGCAGAGACAGATTTGGACTCCCTGGTAAAGGAAGATGACAAGACTAAATATGAAGGCAAGGTAAGATCACCTTCCTTTTACTGATAGAGGTTTCTGACATGAGAGACTGTTGCTGCCATAATTATCAATAAATCAGGTTCCCCTGTTTCATGCCTATCATTAGCTCCAGAAAATATTCCTATAAAGGCATGTAGCATGGACTAGTGCTCCCAAGAGCTGAGGTTTGTAGGATTTCTTCCTTTTCTTTCTTAATTACAACTAAATATGGAAAACTGGTCATGCACGTAATTGTTGGTAGATATTGTTTTATTGAAGGAAGTCATTTTATTCATTCTCATAATCTGACTTCATATTTAAAATTGGTAGAACAGCCTTGGCCAAGTGGCTCAGTTGGAGCATCATCCCATACACCAAAATGTTGCTGGCTTGGTTGCTGGCCAGGGCACAAACCTGGGTTGCGTGTTTGGTGCCCAGTTGGGGTGCGTGCGGGAGGCCGCTGATTGATGTTTTACTCTCTCTTTCTCTCTTCCTCTCTCTCTAAAGTCAATAAAACATATCCTTAGGTGAGGATTAAAAAATGGTAGAACAGAGTATAGTTTATGTACAAAAAAGCACATGAAAAAAATGCATAGAGCTTCACACACACACACACACACACACACACACACACACACAGTGCATGTATAACTGGTGAACTCTGAGTAAGCTCTATGGATTGTGCAAATGTCATTTTCTTGGTTTTAATATTATGTTCTATTTATGGGGATGCAAGGTTGGTACAATATCTGCAAATCAATTAATGTGATACACCACATAAACAAAATGAAGGATTAAAAAACCACATGATCATATTAATAGATGCAGAGAAAGCATTTTATAAAATTCAGCACCAATTTATAATAAAAACTCTCAGCGAAGAGGGAATAGAGGGAACATACCTTAATGTAATAAAGGCCATATATGACAAATCCACAGCCAACATCTTCATATCAATGGGCAAAACCTAAAAGTGTGTCCCTTAAGTTTGGGAACAAAACAGGGATGTCCGCTTTCACCATTCTTATTCAACACAGTACCGGAAGTCCTAGCCACAGCAATCAGACAGGAAGAAGAAAGAAAAGGCATCCAAATTGGAAAGGAGGAAGTAAAACTCCTTTAGTTAATAAACGAATTCGGCAATGTAGCAGGATACAAAATAAATATCCAGAAATCAGTGCATTTTTCTACACCAGCAGTGTTCTATCAGAAAGGGAAACTACAAAAACAATCCCATTCACAATTGCTTCAAAAAGAATAATATCTAGCAATAAATTTAACCAAGGATGTAAAAGTCCTGTGCTCAGAAAATTATAAATCACTGAAGAAAAATTGAAGAGAAACAGTGGGAGTCTTATTTAAACAGCTCATAGATAAAACTAGTAATTCTTCCCATAGAACCCCAAGCATATATTTTTACACCATTAGATAGACTGGCTCCTGAGTCCCACATCCAAACCTTTGACACCCAGTCTTGCTGGTCCCAGATCACTTCCACTGGAAACCATGAGCTCACTTGCTTGTTTTCCTTGGTGAAGGTGGTGCGCCTGTCCAATGGGAACCTCGTGGTTGTTCGGGTTGTTGGGGTGCCCGGCCCATTTCCCATCATGACTTCCATGCTGGCTGCGGGTGCTCCAGAAAGTACATTCCTTGGGAAAAGCAGAGCGGAGTTTCAGGGGAGAAGCTGCGTATGGTTAGTAAATGCTGAAACCTGAGGAAGCAAAGAAGCTACAGTTAGAAAACAATGCCTCCAAAACCCAGCTTGGTGCAAGGCTGCCTGGGACAAGACAGGCAGTTTCATGCCATTGACATTTGTTATATTTCTTCATTTCTGTCGGTGTTTAATTTCTTTAAGTCAAATAAACAGCTTTTTTTATCCAGCCCTGAAGAATGCACTCCAAGGAGCTGCATTTAGGGATCAAATTTGAGTTTCCCATAGCCGGCACATTGACATATAAGACAAACAAGGCCAATGCACAAAGAATACCAGACCAGGGGTTGTCACTCAAGGATGTCTTGGATTGTCCTGCAGGCATTCCTCAACCCTCCAGACTAAGATATAGTTTGGGCCCTTAATCCTACATCCTGGAGACAGTTCCTGTCTGACCAACCAGAAACCAAGCGACCCAGATCCAAAACTACCTGGTGGTCAGCACACATCATAGCTACCAGTTGTTCGGTTGTTTGGCTGTTCGGTTGCTCCACTGTTCGGTCTATTTGCATATTAGCCTTTTATTATATAGGATTCGCTTATGCTTAAGAATTAAAGCAAGTATATTACTCTGATGGAAACATGGGAAATCTTTCATTCAATGTAATATACAGGGGTAATATTCAAGTTAAAGGGGGAAAAAACCCCACTCTTCTTATTTTTTTAATGTATCCATATGTAATCATTTACCAGGACATGGCCAAAATGGGAATAGAAACACCAATTAAAGTGGCCACAGGGGCTGACCTACCCACCTCCCTTCTGAAGTCCTGAAAAAGCAGGTTCAGATGGCCACTCCACTTCACTGTCGAGGAGGGCCAGGCAACCACTCCCATGGCCAGCACCAAGTGGGAGTCTCCTAAAGAACAGACCCTCTGTCCAGTGGAGACGCAAGCAAGTAAACCCCAGATGAGCTGCCACTGGTGACTGTTTCACCAAGCATCCATGCCAGGCGGAGAGCGAGTCACTTAGGAGAATTCCATCTGAATCACCAAATTTGTTACCAAACTCAAGGGGTTTGCCACTTGGGGTGTTCCATTCAAGAACAAGACATGGTTGTTGCAAAGTAGTTTTATTTACTTGTAACAAGTAAAGGAGACAGGATTCATAGCCAAAGTTCTGTCTCCTCTAAAGGGTGGTGTAGCCATTGCTTTTATATACTATTTAGTCAATTCCATGTTGACTTCTTCTTATTTTAATTGACAGTAATATGTCTTTATTGTGGATTAAGCAAGTTCATAAAATTGCTATCTGTAATCTTTAAAACAATGCACTGAAAGTAAGTCTTGATTTCAGAGTTTTATTGTATTGCACTAAAGGCACAGCAGGATGGTTGTATAATGTTCTCTTTCATTCCGTTTTGTAAGTCTGAAGTACTTGCAAACTCTTAAGACTACCTTTATCACAAGATTAGGACAGTAAGTATAATAACCAACTTCTTTTTTTAAAAGTTTTTTTTTTGGTTGTTTCTTTAAAAAAATCTTTGTTGTTCAGATTATTACAGATGTTCCTCTTTTTCCCCCCCATAGCTCCCCTCCACCTGGTTCCCACCCCACCCTAGGCCCTCACCACCCCACTGTCCATGTCCATAGGTACTGCATACATGCATATAAGAACTTTGTCCCATCTCTTCCTGCACCCCCCACATCCCCTTCCCCCTGAGAATTGTCAGTTCACTCCATTCTCATGCCCCTGATTCTATTACATTCACCAGTTTCTTCTGTTCATCAGATTTTTTATTCATTTGATTTTTAGGTTCACTTATTGATAGATATGTATTTGTTGTCACTTTGTTGTTCATAAATTTTTATCTTTACCTTTTTCTTCTTCTTCCTCTTCTTAAAGAATACCCTTCAGCATTTCATATAATCCTGGCT